CCCCGTGCGCTTGTCCTGGTTGACGTGCAGCAGGAAGAAGCACACGGAGATCTTGGCCGTGGCGCTGCTGAGCAAGTTGGGCGGGATGGCGAGCATGTTGTACTTGGTCGCCTGGACGACTTGCTCGGTCGACAGGGAGGATTCGTGCCGGCCGAAGCCGTAGTTGACGGCTACTGTTTCGAGTGCGATGCCCAGTGTTGCTAGAATCTATAACGGTGAGAGAGATACTGTCATGAATGAGTCAGGACACTGACCATTGACGCGACAATCCAGTAGTCGTCCCAGCCGCGGTACTTGATGATGCGGATGCGCACGTAGAGACGCGCAGCGAAGATGAGGATGGCAACGGCGGTGGTCAGCCAGAGCGCGACGAGGAGCTCAGGAGCGCGATTGACGCTGTCTGGCGGGGGAGACATTGTAAACGAAGGCTGAGGACGATTACATGGGAAAGGAGAATCTCAGCGATCGCAGCAATATATTCTTGAAGATTGCCCACTCATGTATGTAGATAGTAGATACATCGCGAGCACGAGGGGCATTACCTATCGAGTACATGTACTTCTCCCCTGGACAAAGTTCTTGTCACCTCCGATGTGAAGAAAAAACAGCCTGCATATTGCTGTCGGAGCGTCCTGGCCGTATTTGCAAAGCAACGCCGTCGACATATTACTTTTGCAAATGGCAAGTAAATATTTAGGGTTCGGGAGAGTCGATAGAGTTACACGCAACGTGATACTTGCAGGGGTTGGACAGCAGGGGTCAGACACGCTCTAGCACTGTCCATTTAACCGATAGTCCATGTATCCTAGGAGTAAAATAAGCCTCCTGTCGACAGGCAGATATTAAGCTGGGGATTTTAAATCATACAGGTAGGTAGATACATTGTGTGATTTCAGGCATGAGACGCATCCAGTCTCGAATGTAGCGTAGGACGTCAGAGACCGATCTCTCTTGCTTAATTCACCCACATGCATACAGACTCCTGCATAGCAAAACTCAATCCTTGAACTTGCAGGGTTCGGAAAGAAAGCTGTCCCAGGCGCAGTACAGTAATACTCCCATGTGCGGAGTACGTACTCTGTATGAATATTATCCTTGCCTTGGCACGGGCAGGCAGGTACAGTATGTATATACATGACGTGTACCTGACGACTAGTTAGTCAGATAGAGGCTTGCTTCTGGAATCGATCTAATCGAATGAATGAATGAATGAATGAACTAGATAGCGAATACGACCTAAGCATTTATTTATTATACTCCATACATTTTTGCAGTGCAATACCACGCTGTATGTCAAAGAATTAGTAGCTTACTTAGCATAACTTAGTTAACCTGATGACGACTGCTCTTCCGATGTCCGGAAAACGTAATCCTCCGATAATGCACCGAGGTGAGCAGTGCCTATGTATGTATGTAGGTATGTGCAATGTGCATGTAGAAAGGAAAAGTCCGAATTGGTCCAGCCTTGCCGGTAGACAGATTATACTCTAGACCGAGTTGCGGGGGAGGTATGTATCGAATACGGAGGACTCTGTGTTCTCTTACGAAAGAGAGCGAGATTAGGACAAAGAAAGACCACAGCTCAGCTCAGTGCAGGTCTGTGTGATCGACGCTGCAAGCATTCCTTTTCGGAAAGACGGTGTTACTAACAGACATGTCAACAATGACTGTCATAGGCAGGAAATGAGGTAGGCTAATTAATGTTGGTGCGAGAATGAGACTTTTCATTCTCTTTCCCCACTGCCTAAAGGTTACATGTATGTATGTATGTACATACATGTCCTACGTGACTGGAGCTGTTGTACTCCGTATGCAAGTAGCCAGGTTGAATCAGTGTATACAGTACTGTACTGTACGCAATGACTATCTATTGCATTCGAGTGATTCAACAATACAGACTATTCGCTTATGTACAGTACATCAGACGTCCTCAATAGTATACATACATTCATACGTTGTAGAATGACCAGTCGATTGACAATCGTACTTACAACATAAAGCACCTCAACGGGTCATTCCGATGGAAGAACCACCGCAGCTGCTTGCCATAGACGTAGATGACGACTGAGCACAGCGTCACGCCGAGCTGAATGCCACCGATGATGCTGAAGATGGTGCTCGTGCGGGCGACCTCGAGCCAGTCGGGCAGGAAGTAGCTGCTGCCGAACCAGAAGAAGTTGCGCAACATGATGATGGCGACCGAGACCTCGACGCTGCGGCTGCGGTGGCAGTCGAGCACGTAGTTGAACGAGACGCTGGCCGCCAGCACGCTCGCGAACGCGATCAGCCCCTGCAGACACGACACCGGCACCCAGTGGTCGTTGGCGCGCGCGGCGTAGTATCCAAAGCCGAACAGCCCTGGAATCCCGACCAGCAGCACCGGAAGCAGCAGGATAAGCCGGAACTCGGGCTCGAAGACGCCGTTGTTGCGCCGCGCGCAGAACTTGGGCCACCAGTCGCTGAGCACGAAGCCGACGACGCACCCGATCATGAGGAAGACGAAGGGGAAGATGAAGAGCAGGCCGAGCTGCGTGTCATCAAAGAGATTGGGGGGTGCGCCGAAGATTTGGGCAACGACGACGGAGAGGCCGATTGTCTGTGATGTCAGACAGAAGAAGAAGATTTAGGGAAGATTCAGGGCAGCATACCCATGCACTCCACAGCCCTCCCACTGTAAATCCCCAAAAGACAGCCGGATAGAGGAAGCACGCAAACGGACGAGCCAGCAGGATCACCGGATTCTGGCGCAAGATGAAGCCATTGAACGGCTTCAGCTCCTCCCAGTACGACCGCCGTTTCTCTGGCGTGCTCACCAGCGCAGTAGCGTCTCCGGACAGATCGACGTCAGCCTTGTTGCGCAGGCTCTCAGTCTCGGATCCCGCGGCCATGTCCGTCTCGTACGTGCTGGGCCGGACGTAGGCGTGCTCCGGACAGGCGAAGATGATCAGCAACAGCGCCAGGCCCGTGAAAGCGATCAGGATGCGGAATTGCATCCGCCAGCCGTAGACGTGCGAGATGTAGCCGCCCAGGATGGGGCAGATGTTGGCGGCGCCGAGCGTGACGATGTTGTATGCGACAATCATCTTGCCTCGCTCGTGGACCTGAGATTGTCAGCCTGGACGTAATATCGACTAGCGGCAGGTCTCTCTGCAACGTACAAAGTAAAGATCTCCAATGGACGAAATGACAATCGACTCATACGCCCCATTTCCAAAACCCTGCACCGTGCGAGCCGCCAGCAGCGAGTTGAAACTCGACGCCCAGGCACACCAGGATGGTCGTCGCGAAGAGGATGACCGTTGAGATGATGTAGGCCGACCTCTTGCCCAGGATCGGAGCCCAGGCCTGCGCCAGGAACGCTCCCACGCCGGCCGTCAGCAGCGGATATCCCGCCGGCAGGGCAGCCTTGGAGATGCTGATGTGGAATTCCTCGGCGATGTCGGCCTCTTCGGGCGCGAGCAGGGGGCCCAGAGCGCCGGCCATGCAGACGGAGAGGCAGATGGAAAAGAAGGTCAGATGCTTCTTCCATTGCGGCCAGTTCTGCGGCAGTATTATTAGCAGCAGTATCACAACGCATTGAGGGGTAGATAGCTTACCAAGGGATCGTTTGGCGAGTTCGACGGCTGCGGGACGAGAATAATATCAGAATTCTTGCCTGAGGCATGCTTGAAGGCAGACGACTGCTGGACTGCTGCGCCGTGGATATCAAACAGCGTGGCAGTGCCAGGCACATGCCGGCCGATGGTGGACTTGGATTCTTTGACGCCGAAGCCCATGGCGAGGAATTATAAAAGAGATTCGAATGTATGCACAACAGAAACAAAGTCAGTCAAAACGAGAGAGATGCACAAAAAAAAGTAATATGAGAAAAGAGCGATGTTTGACTTCATCTTCCTGTAGGGGATCTCTATTATTATTGACAGCTGATGCCTCGCAGACTGGCCTACACAGACCCCTGTCAACGGCAGGTCGCATTGGCCAAGACACTGCAAGCTGAAAACAAAGACGATGTCGACTACGTAGCAGGGCCCTGTCGAGTCGATAGAATTAATGCATGCATGTTTGTCGTCGAAGTCATACCGCAGATGCCAAAATTACATACTCTGTACGTCTCCCGTAATTGCATTACTCGCCTGCATTTGCAATGTAACGTGGGCAATGTAACTGAGCTGGCTGCAGGAGATGCCTGCAGCAGTTCATTATTGTTATTATTATTATCCGTTTTTCCCGGTAAGGCCAGCCATGTGGCTCGTTTCTTATCCTGGATTGACTTTACTTCAACAACCCTAGTACATTATTCCTGTCGAGACAGCTGCTCGTTTCCATCACTGTTGTAACCACTCCTGTACGATAGACGAAAAATAATGGCCACTCCAGAACACATCCAAACCCTGCTGGCAGACATCAACCGCGCTGCTGAAACCTATACACCGTCCGCAGGTGGAGAGCGCTGGTCTACTTCCTCCTCGCGACACAAACTCCTGACTGCGGCAAGGAAACTGGTCGCTGCCCTCGAAGACTCCGAGGAAGAGGTCTGGCGGTTCGTCTTGCAGCCAGGAGCACATGCCTGTGCCATCGCTGCGTGGCAATGCCGTCTGCTGGCTCCATGGCCCAAGGAAAGGATGACTGTCGCTGAGCTGGCAGGACATGCGAATATGGACGCAATTCTCGCGAGTGAGTAGGTGCTTCCATAAAAAAAGAATTGCCTTTAATCATCTCGATGGTAATTAGACCGCATCATGCGCGCCCTCCAGCATTACGGCATCTTCGCAGAGGTGGAAGAGGAAGTCTACGAGCACAACGCCCTGTCGACCCGGCTGTCAACGCCGCCATTCAACCAGAGCGCCATGCCAATGTATGTCAGTCCATCTTTAAAATAAAACTAGATCCGGACCTGAACTGACTTTCCATCAGGGCCGTCCGGATTCGCGAAATCGCCAAACTGCCCGAGTATCTCGCGCACATCGCCTACCGCAACCCAGGCGCGGACCCGACGCAGCCCTCGCTGTTCCAATGGGCCAACAACACCGACGTCGAGTTCTTCCACTGGATGCAGACGCAGTCCGATCTGCTGGCCAAATTCAACGCCTCGATGGCCAAGTCCATCGACACGGAGCGCGCCGCTGGCGATGGCAAGAGCGTGCTCGATATCTACCCTTTTGAGCAGGTCCTGGCGGACGCAGCGCCGGAGGAGACTCTGGTCGTCGATGTCGGCGGTGGATATGGTCATCTGCTCCGAGAGATGCGCTCGCAGTGGCCCCAGCTGAAGGGGAAGATGGTTCTGGAGGACCTGCCCGAGACGGTCAAGGGGGCTGTGGTGACGGAGAATGTCGAGATCCGGCCGTATGATTTCTTCAAGGAGGAGCAGCCTGTAAAGGGTACTTCCTTATCAATTTCCTCATAGGTCTTAAGGCTAGCTGCTAACAACCCAGGTGCCCGCCTATACATCCTCCGCCACGTCCTCCACGACTGGCCTGACCACGCCTGTCGAACGATCCTCAAAAACACCATCCCGGCCCTCGTCCAGGGGCGATCGAAGATCCTGATCGTCGAGATCGTCCTCCCGCCTACCAACGCCTCCGTCTGGGGCTCCCTCATGGACATCAACATGATGAAGTACGGCGGTATGGGCCGCAAGGAGCGCCAGTGGCGCGAGCTGCTCGCGTCGGTTGGTCTGGAGATTGTCAAGATCTGGCCGCCGGTGACGAATGATAGTGTGATGGAGGTTGTTCCAAAGGAGTGGCTGTGAGGAGTCATATTTTGCATTTAGTATAGATTTCCAATTGATGCCATGCACATGTCATTAAGAGTTCATGGCATATGAAAAGAAAATAAAATAAATTTATGACTATTGAGCATTCAGCACAAGATCTTGCCGTTTTTTTTCTCTTCCTGTCAGATAATTGCAATGAAATAGAGTCATCTTTTAGGTAATACATCTTAACTCCTTCCCTGGTCTCGAATATTTGGAATCATATCAGGCCAGGTCGACGACTCTTTTTCTCTGTTGACCCGGTTCATGTACGTATCTGGATCCGCAAACTCATAGGACATATAATCCCCAATGTAGTCAAATTCACTACCATCAGAGAGCAGGGCTGACGCTGTAGCGGGACATATGATGGATTGATAGCCTTCGCCACTGGTCATAGTTGGCGCGGTCGTCATCGACTGCGGCCGGAGTGAGAGAGAGAGGTCTGGCAGGTCGTGCAACGAGATCTCTGCGTTTGGCTCAAGCGAAGGCTCGGCACAGGACTGCGAGATCTCGCCCTGTTTGCTCTGACTGGCTTGCTTGTTCGCCAACGGAGTATCGTCGTCGATGATCATGTCTTGGTGACACTCTCGCTCTGATATGACGGGGCGGGCATTTTCCCGCTGGGTTCGACGTTGTGCTCTTCGTCTTTCAGGATTACGCACTGAAGGCACATCTATGAAGAAATCCACTGAATTAAAACGAACGAAAAACTCGCGTGAATGTATTCAAGAACAGAAAGTTTGAAGTTATTGAAACCCGAGACCTAAGTCAACTTCGAAAGGAAAATAAAAAAAAAGAAGAGGACTCTGAATACGCCGCAACTTGAGTAAGGAGTAAGGCAGACATAAATATGGCATTGCTGGCAAGGCTGAGAGCACAGCCTTGAAAGCGCACCGCTGTGCGTTTGTCAACACACGCTACAACGGCATTGGTAGATGATTCTCCGAGTACACTACAAATAATTGTAATTATACTGTGGATCACCGAAAAAAAAAATCTGCAATAAATTAAGCAGGGTTAGTGGATCATAATGGAATGTATAAACGAAATAATACGGGTATTATAACCGGATCAGTTAAGGATCAATTGATCAATATATGTATTCTGCAGAGTCTGTAGGTGCAGTCTGGCATGCTGATTGGTGGCTAGAAGCCCTGTAGCATTTCTATCTACTAGCCTTCCTGCAAAAATAGGCATCTTTTTATTATACAGCTTCCCTCTTCCACCTTACTCTTTTATCGCTTCATACTATTTTCCTATACTGGCATCTATTTCTGCCTTCTTAGACTACTTCCTTTTCTATATATTTAGCTTTTATTAAGGAAATACTCATCAAAGATAGGGAATTAATAAGGGCAAAGGGTAAAGAAAAAAGAACTAGGGTATTATTAGCAGACATGGAAAAGATTTAAGAAGTAAAGAAAGGTACTATATTTATAGGTATCTTTATGTAATTCTTTTCTTTAGTGCAATATGTGATGCTTTAGTAGATTTCTATAAGGTAATAGCTACCTAGCTGGAAGCCAGGCAGATTAGGCTGTGTAGCACTGCACGGTCTTTTTTGCTTGTCTATTGATAGCTGAGGAACTGAACTGTGGTGCATGTCAAGCTAATTCTGTAGTTAATCAGGATAAAGCTTTTTTTTATGATATAAAAATAATAACAGTATTGTTGTTATTATTATTTCTATCTACAAGCAATAGATTGTCGTTATGTGACGCCTTTCATATCATGTCAATTTCCAGCACTCACGTCAACCTTAACCCTCCAAAGCTGGCAGAATCTGGGTCGAGTTGGACAGGAATCCATCCCCTGTCCCAGTCAGCAATTCCCAGAAGGCTCAAAAATCTTATTATGTTATGCAAACTCACCATCAGCATTATACCGCACCATTTGAGTCGCACTGAGCCGAATCAGCTACACTCTGTATGCAATACAACCGCATGAGAACTTACTAGTACGGACTCGTCGTCGCAGAGATATCCTCAACCAGGATGACGTCAAAGCCCTATTCCCATCAGTATCTAGGTTCCATTCGATCCTGTCTGAGATTATCAACGGCTGACCTTGAAGTAGGCGTCGATGAAGGTTGACCACTATATCAACTCAATGTCAGCAGTCTGCTTCCATATCTGATAGCGTAAACATACCACACACTGATCCGTATTTACGCCCCCGAAAAACAGCGTCGTGATTTCGTTCTCCTGCAGCCATAGACCCAGCGGGGTTTGCGCGCCCCAGAGACCACTGAGCCGATCTGCCAGAAGCAATCCTAATCAATGCAAATTCCCAATCAAAGCCAGAAGTCAGGAGATATGTACTTTTGTTAAAATAAAGATCCGTCCCCCTGGCAACACCCTCCACCTGCAACGGATACAAAGGACCGTAGGGCTGCGCGTTCCACGATCCGCGCATCAGTTTTCGTCCTGCGGAGATGTTTGTCCCGGGGACGATGCCCATGTCGGAGCCGAAGGATGCTAGATGAGTCGTCAGAAAACGTCGTTTTCAATGGAGATAAGGAGACGTACTCGACGAGGAGTCATTCGTCGAAAACTCATCCAGGAACGCAGGCGGCATTGTCAGGAGATCGAACTCGTCGAGTCCCCACTGTCGCAAAGTCAGTCAGAATGTTCCCTCGACAGGGACATGCTTCGGAAAGGGAATTAAAATGATAATTAACGCACATTAACCCACAGCACCTTCATCCCCGCCTTCCGGAATCCATGGATCATATTCACCATTGTGTTGACAATGGCTCGGCCGGCAGTAGCCTTGGGGCTGAGAGCGGGGTGCAGGAAGAAATCTACATCCATATCTTGTCAGAAAAAAAAAATCACCGAAAGAATATAATGTAGAACAAACTCTGCATATCAATAATCACCAACGCAGAGCGCGACGGCTCAATGAGAATCTCCTTTCGCTGGCCATTGCAGGGGATCTTCTTGGGGGATGTGACAGGCAGACGGGCTGAGCGTGTCAGGTCCCAGAGATCATTGCCCGGAGATTTGACCCAGCTGGAAGCAAGAGATTTAATCATCAATGGTATATCTGTGGGGGCATTGGGGGATGCTTACTAGTTGTAGTAATTCCCCAGCACGGAAGAATTCGTGTCCAAGCCTTCGACGACAACTGTGCTTGTGATTCCTGTGAATTGGCTGCTGGCTAGAGGAGCCAGGCCTAGGAGGAGGTGCGTAAGGAATTTCATGGTGTAATCTACTTGCAGACAGCTGGAGAGCATAAAGAAGAGACATGAAACGAGGTCTTTTATACCATGATATATCTACAGCATATTCCTTATCAATAATGAATTGATACGATAACGATATCCTCCTAACCAAAACAAAATCAATTAATCACATCATAGCTAATTTCCTAGCTACTAAGATAGTCAGTCACTCCTCCAGCTGACAAATCCTTCATTCTCACGATAATGGTGTCTTGTATTGTACGTAATAACAAGCAATCAACTAGACCAAGTAAGAATCTTTGATAATATATCAGAGATAAAGATCGATCGACACGTGCAGAAACAAAAAAGGAAGGTGAGCAGTTTAGCTCAACGATACGGATAGATCGGTCATAATTTATTATCTAACTTATCAGAGGAGATAAATGTGGGGAAACTTGGGGCAGTACCTGGCATGATAAGGTGAGGAATCGAATCACCAATATTATATGGTCTGTAACAGACGACACATTCACATTGGTGGATTGTTCTTAAACAATCACGATACTGTAGTAACGAACCGCGCGGAAGTTATTAATTATGTGTACGCGATATGATATGTATGGTTAAATAATATTTAATTGATCACCGAAATGTTACATTATGTATCTAGCCTCTAATCTAAATCAGAGAAGAAGAAGTGTGAATTTCTCATCAACACAGTGGAATTATTTCCATTGCATGATACATGCTTATTTTCTTTCCTCCCTCCTATTAAGCTATATACATGGATATATTTTAATTTGATACCCAAGTATCTACCTACCAATTACAGAAGTACATTAGGTATGTGGAAGATGGATCAAGACGGTCTTTTCTTTTCTTCCAATCACTTTGTTTATTTTTTTTGCCCTTCCTTTTCTCTTCATACATATGTAGGTTACCTTACTTATTTACTTCCATGTAGAGATACGGATAATTAATCCGGATCAGTATTCAGTAATAGCATACACTGGCATACTACATTTATACCTCGCTGCTAACCATCCCCCAACTATTACATACATGTTTTTATTTACCCTGTGTCATGACATTCCATGTCTTCTTCCTGCTTCCATCTATCTTTGGTTCATTGGATGTCCCCTTCTTCTGGTTTGATAGTACAAGGGAGGAAATCAATAATTAAAAATAACGTACTCATCTATAGCCATATGTATCCTCGTTCATTCAGACTTGGATAGATGACTGATTAATTTTTTTTTATATGTCATCCATCAACTAATCTCTCCATAACAAGGCGGACTCTGGATAGAGCTAGACCGACCGCAACTCGCCATCCAGCGTCGTAATTCTATCCTCCGTTATTGTCAACCTCTGACTGTATCCCCCGTAGTATACAGCTACCTGCACACCCCCAGAATAGTTCCTCAACGTCGCAGTCGACAACTTCCCCCCTTCCCAGTAGATATCCACCTCGATATTCCCCCTTTCACGGAGACCACGGATATGCCCTGACGGCCAGGCAGAAGGCAACGCCGGGAGGAGATCGATTTCCACTTCTACGCCTGCGCTACTCGTTCTTGTAACACTCCGCAGCAACATCTCCGCGAGGACCGCCGCACCGCCGTAATTCCCGTCTGCGATGAAGATGTTGGTCTCTGCGCCTGCGATCCCCGGCTTGGAGTACGTCAGCAGGTTGTCAAATGCCAGCTCGCCGATCAGATGCCCCAGCTGGCGGAATGCGGGCTCGGGCTCGTTCAGCCGCGCGTAGTTCAGCCCGAACAGCGCCGCCGTGAACTCGATGTCCTCCAGGTCGGCCCTGGCTTGTCGCTGGTCCAGCGTTGTCCGTGTTGCTGTCGCCAGGTCGGGCGTCTGTCGCGCGGAGATCTGCGCGCTGCGGCACAGAGCCATCGTATGTGACAGATGTCTGTGGTCCGGCTGCGCTTCGGCGTAGTCCTCCTGCCACTCCTGCAGCTGGCCGCGTTGGCCGATCTTGAACGGGGGCAGCTTCGTCAGGCTGTCTTCTAGCTTGCTGACTAGCTCTGTGTCATTGACATCCAGTTCGCGCGCGGCCTGGACGCAGAACTGGAACAGGTCCCGGACGAGGATAATGTCTATCGTCGGAGCCAGCGAGAGATGCTGCTCCTCGCTCTGGCCAGGAGGATAGAAGCTGTTTTCTGGAGAGACAGACGGCCCTGTCACTAGATACCCCGTCCGGCTGTCGACGGTCATGTACGAGAGGAAGAACTCCGCTGCGGCCCTCAGCACAGGATAGGCCTGTTCGGCGAGGAACTTCTTGTCGAGGGTATACTCGTAATGCTCGATCATGTGCGTCGCCAGCCACAGGCCTCCCGTCACGTTCAGCCCCCAGGAGGTCTCCCAGCCAGGGTCGGTGAAGCCCCAGACGTTCGAGAAGACGTGGGCCACCCAGCCAGGACACCCGTAGAACTGGGCTGCTGTGGTCTTGCCCGCCGCGGCGAGGTCCTCGATGTACTTCATCAGCGGCGTCTGCAGATCGCTCAGGTTGGCTGTCTCCGTCGGGAAGTAGTTCATCTGGATGTTGATGTCCAGGTGGTAGTCGCAGCTCCAGTTCATGCGGTTCGCCTCGCCGTCGTTCCACAGGCCTTGTAAATGCAGGGGCAGGGGGGAGTCTGCGCGCGTGCCCCCGGNGATGGTCAGGTAGCGGCCGTACTGGAAGAAGAGGGCGAAGAGCCGGGGTCATCGTATCCAGATGCTGCGAAGCTGGCTCGTCGCTTGTCGACCGGCCAGTTTTCTCGCTCGTCATTCTTCCCGAGATCCACGCTGACGCGCCGGTACAGACGCTGGTGGTCGTGGACGTGATCTGCCCTGAGCTGCTCGTATGGCTTCTTCTCTGCGTCTGCCACTTGCTGCAGAGCTAGCGATTTCCACCGGTCGTCCATCTGTCGGAAGTCGGTGTTGAACGCCATCGTGATGGTCACGACAGCTGCGTGTGCGACTTTGATTCTGCCGTCGCTGTTGCTGACCGAGCCTCCAGACGTCGTCACTTGGAGTACGCCTCGACCCCTGACGCCGCAGGAGCCGTTGCTGTGGACCGTCTCGACGGCGCGGGTGTCGAAGACGAGCCTGTTCTCGCTGCTAGAGACGGTGAACTCGTTCGTCTCTCCGGCAAGGGAGATTTCCAAGGAGAGTCCGTCCGGCGCGTCCGTCCTCAACTGAGTCACGAGAACCTGCTGCGGATGCGAGACCCAGGACTCTCGATAGTAGCGGTAGCCATTGAGCCGATACTCAGCCGAAGCAACAGCCTCATCGAGACTCAAAGCCCTGCTGAAGTCGATCTCCTCACTTGACAACGAGGACCCATACTCAAACGCAATCCTCACCCTCGCAACAATCAGATTCGTCCCGTAGTTCTGCTTCGCCGGCTGCAGGTACTTTTCGGCCAGACGCTTGCCGCCCGCGTAGTCGTCGACGAAATACCGGTTGCGGATCTCGTCCAGTGCTGCCCGGCCGCCGTACGACCCTGGCGGCGCGGACTCAGGCCGGCCGGACCAGAAGGTGATGTCGGTAAAGGTCCAGAGCTCCTGGTCGATGGCGGAGAGGACGACGGCGCCGATGCGGCCGTTGCCTAGGGGGAGGCCTTGTTGCCAGGTTGTGGCTGGGTGGGAGTAGTGGAGGGTGTCTGGCATGGCAGCAGCAGAAGTAGTAGTATTATGTGTCGATATAAGTGTAAGGAGTCCAGATGTATTTTAGGACTGCTCTCGCTGTATAGTTGAAGTACGTATTAGCGTGCCAGCAGCAGGACATTAACAATGCGCAGTCCTTATGTTGAATCCCTCTCCCAATCGCGTGTATATGCCATGTCATTAGACGTCCAACGTATGTACTCCGTACTCCGTAGACAGTGCCGCAATTCAACCATACTTACTTGACACAGTCAGTCAGTAGTCAGTCAGTAGTCAGTTCCCCTCCCTTCGGGCACATTATCGGACAAATTCCAGCTAGCTGGTAGTTACCTTGTGTGGAAGGCAGACAAGACACGAGGATAAATAATAGACTTTGACTTCGACTCGTCGAATGCTTAATTAGCAATATGTCAGTTGATACCCTTGAACCGTTCTACTTTCCCCGGCAATCTCACCGTTAACGTTCGCGTTCACCGCATTCCAGAGTAGAGTACGGAGTAGAGACCGGCACTGATAGGGTAGTCTGGTAGACTAGACTCGGCGAGATTCTCGGCGGATTCTACCTAACAGCTAGAGCGATACATACTCGGTTCGGTAACTTCTGCGGGGAAGGTTCCATTGGAAACCATTCGAAGCATGCTGACTGCTGACTGATGACTAGCGGGGAGATAATTAGTGTGAGGAGTTATGTGGTTAGTATTAGTACCTGCATTGTTTGCGAAGAATAGAATTAATAATTAATTGATCGATTAATATGGTCAGGTGTTCGACAGACAGCAAGGGTGTGTAGTACGTACTGTGCTGGTTTGGGGTCTTTTGTATTGTATGACAGTGTACAGTACTGTAATTTATGACCACAGTACTTCGGGGTAGTTGGAGTATGCAGTGCCAACAAGCTTATTCAATTCAGCTTGAATGAATGAATTAAGCTTGCTCTGTCTGCCGGCCAATTCTCGGCAGATACAGAAATTAATTACCGTCAGTCCGTAGTAATTAGGGTGAAGACTGCTGAAGACTGCTGAAGATGTATGCATGTGGCTGGGTATTGGCCCGCAAATTTCCCCGGACGAGTCCCCCGGATTAGACTGAATTTCTGGGGAAGTACGGGGTATGGAGTACGGGACGGTAAGTTACTATATTACTTACCCCGGACGGGGATGACCCATATATATCTCTGTCTGTCTGTCTGTATATACTAATTAATTGCGTCTCCTCTAATCTGCGTCTGCGAAAGGGTTTATTAAATTCTACGAGTCCGTCTGTCCATGGATCGCTGACAGGTTCTTTCTTTCATCTTGCACTGTTAGTAATCGTCTGAGTACAAGAAGTGACCATGGAGAAAGAACACACAGAGCTTGTTGAAAATACTTCTCCTGCTCCTGACTCTGCTACTGCAGAGCAACAGCCTGATGGAGCCAAACTCGATACCTCCCTCGCCCAACGCGGCACCGCCGTCGAGCACGAGCTCGGCTACTGGGAAGCCTTCACCATCTACAAAAAGGGCGCCTTCTGGAGCATGTTCATCTCGCTGTCCATCATCATGCGGGCGTACGACATTGAGATCTCGGGAAACTTCTACGCGCTGCCGGCTTTCCAGCGGCATTTCGGTGTGTACTACGAGGGCCACGGCTGGCAGGTGCCTGCGTCATGGCAGGTCGCCATGTCGATGGGCTCGCTGGTGGGCCAGATCATCGGGTCGTATCTCGTTACGTTCCCCATGGAGCGGTTTGGCCGTAAGAGGACGTTCGCCGTCTGTCTCGTTCTGACCGCCCTCTTGACTTTCATGCAGTTTTTTGCGTCTGGCATTGGCGTCCTCACTGCGTCCCAGTACCTCTCTGGCATCGTCTGGGGCAGCTACTGCGTCATCGCCACCACGTACGCCTCCGAGGTGCTCCCCCTGCGGCTCCGTGGCTTCCTCACCGGCTACATCAACCTCTGCTATGTCATGGGCCAGTTCATCCAGACGGGCGTCACCCGCGGCTTCATCAACCGCGCCGACCAGTGGGCGTACCGCATCCCCTTCGCCATCCAATGGGTCTGGCCTGTCGTGCTGCTCGCCGGCCTGCCCTTCGCACCAGAGTCCCCCTGGTGGCTGATCCGGCAGAACCGCATGGCCGACGCAGAGCGCTCGCTGCGCCGGCTCTCCAGGCCGGACCCAAAGGTCGACACGCGCGAGACGCTGGCCATGATGGTCAAGACGGACCTGCTGGAGCGCGAGATCGAGGTCGGCACCACGTACGCCGACTGCTGGAAGGGCTCCAACCGGCGGCGCATGGAGATCTGCATGCTGCTGTTCGTCATCCAGAACTTCTCGGGCAACCCGGTCGGGTTCGCGACCTACTTCTTCGAGCAGGTCGGGCTGTCAAGCGAGCAGGCGTTCGACATGGGCGTCGGGCTCAACGGCATGGGCTTCGTCGGCACGCTGTGCTCCGCCATCACGCTCATCTACTTTGGCCGGAGGCCGCTGTACATCTTCGGTCTGGCGTTCATGGTCGCCACGCTGTTCACCGTCGCCCTGCTGTCGTTTGCCCACAACTACGACGCAAACCCCGTCTACCGCTGGGTGCAGGCCACCCTGCTGATCGTGCTGCAGTTCGTCTGGCAGATGACGCTGGGCCCGCTGACCTACGTCGTCGTCTGCGAGACGCCGTCCACCAAGCTGCGGTCCAAGACCATTGCGCTAGCGACGGCCATCGACGCGCTGACGGGCCTCGTCACCACCGTCATCGGGCCGTACTTGCTGAATCCGGGCGCTGCCAACGCCGGCGCAAAGATCGAGTTCCTGTACGGCGGCATCTCGGTGTTCTCGCTGACATGGTGCATCTTCCGGCTGCCGGAGACGAAGGGGCGCACGTACGAGGAGCTCGACGTGATGTTTGAGCGGAAGGTTCCTGCGCGGAAGTTCAAGACGTATGTCATTGAGGATTTGAATGAGGGAGCTGAGCGAGGGACTGAACGAGGTTGATAGCGGAGTAGTAGTTTGCTGGACCAGGCTTTTTCATATGTATGTACATATATATGATCCTAGCATTCAATCAAGTAATATATCCATATCAGAACGTAAGGACAGAATCGTAAGGGCA